TAAAAACCCCAATCTCTCCCAGACCTCTTGGTATGACCGATGTTTTAAGTTCTAATAAAATGACTAAGAATCGCCACAAAAAAGGGGACAGAAGAATGTGAGTACAAAATCAGAACTTCCTACAAAAACAAAGCAAAATATCCTCAGAGCTGGTCTTGATTTAAATAGAAAACACTTTCATAAATACCAACAGTACAGTTTAAGAGAAACGCTATACTCGGGTACCATCAACATTCACAACACCTAGGAACTAACTGTCTGTGGGGGAGTACTGATGGGTCAAGCACACTGGTTCGTGCTGCATTTTCACGTCAGAGCATTCAGAGATGGCACTAATGACTTCAGATGTTTTTAGACTGGCAGAAAGTAATCGCATTCCCATTCCAGGACTCCGGGAACACACACCTGTAACTCACTCTGGCACGTACCTTCACCAGGAACAAAGACTACGAGCAACAATAGGGCCTGTACTTGCGTGAAGGCTGCTAACTCTGCTGTCCCACTGTGACCGTGTTTTTCCTGGCTCAGTTCCCACAGGCCAGTTCTACATGGTCCAGTTTAAGCCCACATTCTCCTGAGAGCTTTTAGTCTGTTACAACAGTTCCAGGACCTACACAAACATGCACAATAAGCAGGGGTTAGCAAACTACCACGGTTTGTATTCTGCTGAGTAACTAATTGCTTCTAAAAGACCATGGCATCATTCTCATCTCAAAAATAACATTTCTACGGGCTAAAAATCCCACATCTGCCTTCAGTGCGGAGTAATTCAAATGAGATAATTCAGCCCAGAATAAATTGTGGAGGTTTAATCTGGAAGTCAGTCTAAAGAATCTATTTATTGTAAAACTAATAAGAGATGAAAGGCATGTTTTTATGTCATCCCCAAAGACAATTCAACTCTTGCCTGTGTTTAAATACCAGTCCTTGAACTCTCAAAACCTTTGTAACAGATAAAATCTTTATAAACAAACAGTTTTGTTCTCCTGAGTGATGCAGCATCTAGCTTTAAAGAGGTATCAGCTTTTCAGAATAGACACTCCCACATCTTGAAAAGCAAATCACTATTAACATAAGCAACAACTAGATGTAGGTCTTAATAGACTGGTTTCCTTTAAAAAAAAAAAAAAAGCAGATAGCTTTCTTGAAAGCTCTTCAGAAGAAGACTCCTTAGATATGCTTGATCAAAACAGCTTTGTTTCAGTCACTGAGATTTAAGTTACCTCAAGCACAGAGCATGGTACAAAGAATAATATTGTTTCCAGCTAAGCTCCTGCTCCCTAAGGGCATCCACTCAATGCTCAGACTCTTGAAGGAAACTGGACTTGTGCAGGAACTGCAGTCTATATGTGAATAAGTTATACAGAAAAAACCCACCTATTTGCTATATATTAATTTTTCCTCTTTACATCTCAAACTGAATTTAAAATGTGGTTACAGTAACATTTTTGTCTTATAATTTTATCTTCCCTTAAGACAGGAACAGAAGTGAAAAAAGCACCTGTGCATTGGGGGAAACCAGCACGTTACCATCCTTAAGATGAATGAAGTGAGATTTGTTCTGCCTATAGCAAGAGGGCTAACACACCTTCCACGTGATGTAGTCCTTTAACTTCAACCTGTCGGTGACAGAAGTCTTACTGACCACATCTGTCAGAAACCAGGGTTTCTTCACATTTATTACAGCAAAACACTGAATATTACTCGCTTTTATACTGCAGGAACTTACTGAGATGGAATATAATTATTTTGACAAGTTAAAACATTTTTAAAAGCACCTGCATGGCTTCAGTTCCATTTCCCATTTTGACACACTTGGGCACAAAAGCATCCAATTTTCCAGAATAAATCTGTCACTCTTAGAAGTATTAGGTTAGGACCTTAGTGAAAAAAAAAAAAGCCTCTTTCATAAGGATCTCTAAAACAAAGACCTGTGACCAAAATTCTCACTCCTACAGATTAATTTAAGGATCTTCCTGTAATCCAAATACATTTACAGAATGGACCACATACAGAGGTTAAAACCCCTAAAGGGAAACAGAAGGGATGCAGTTGCCCCAGCTCAGACACAAAGCCAGCTTAAGTGCTGTGCACAAAGGAAGAATTGAAATCAAGACACTCAAAAGAATCCAGGAAGGAAAACACCAGAAAACCAGAATAAATTCCATGGGTAAACTAATCCAATTTCTTTGTAGAATAACAAGACCCATATTCTTTATTAAACTATGCTCACAAAACAGAACAATTACTCAAGATAACCAACATGCAACAAATTAGCTATAGCAGGGGAACACGTTTGGTTGGTTGGTTTTTAATAATTCCACTTAGGCAGCAGTTACCCATCTCTAACCGCACACAGAACTGCACAGGTTGCCTGTCTGCGCCCGAGCTGCCCGTTTGCACCTGTAACTGGCACAAACACCTGCCCGGTGACCAGAAGCATTTGCTGGTGTCCTGCGCTACCACATTCAGTGCTTCCCACAGTGCACTCAATCGACCCTTGGTGCAGCAGCCATACTAAGCTGATTTTTCCCCACACAAATCAGTGGGCGCATTCAGGTAGTTGGCAATATGATGGACTAACTCAGTGGCAGTTTATTAGGAAAGTGGTGAGTGCACACACGCACACAGGCGCACTCTCAACAAGAGTATATAAGCACGAAAAAGCAGAGCTGTTGAGTTCACAGCCTTTCTACCACCCCGTGAACACAGGACTGAAGTCGCTGAAAATACCAGGACAAAGTCAAGCAGCACTTGTTTCTTTTTCTAAAATTTCCAAAGCCTCCCCACCCCCGCTTGGTTTTTTTTTTTTAAGCAGTAGCTTTATCATTACATGTATTATGACTGCACAGAACTGCCCTAGTTTTTCTGTGAGTGTATGGAGAACAAGCCTAACAACACACACTCTTACAAAAGTGGCATTAATATTTCCTCATGGTTTTACATAAATAATTTCTGAATTTAGAAAACTAGAAATCCATTTCCCTGCCTCTATTCCTTGACAACTGTTACTCTCACATATAGTACTGTAACTGCCTCCCTCCAAAGCCTACTCAAGTGTACAGCAAGCCTGTCTACAGTCTTCTGGCTCTCTCTACTTTTATCCTCCATGTGTGAGCAAATACCATTCAAGCCTTTCTGTACCTCAGCTCACAGAAGACATCTACGTGCCAAACCAATTTGTAAGAGATGTCAAAAAATTACACTAAAATAGCTGCAGCCTTTTCACTTGCCAATTTAACAGCTTCAGGCTTCACTTGTACGAGTTCCATGTAGCAACCATTCATACTGCACAACAGTGCCTTAGACAAAAAAAAAGTTTCAATACTTTATGCTACATTGCAAATATTAAGAAAATAATTTGGAGCATCAAGAAAAACTTCCAGCATGACAGTACCTTATTGAACTATGAACAAATTTTAGCATTCTCTCTGGATTTATTTGCATTTCAAAAATCAATACGAAAAGAGAAATGTTACGTATGTACCAGTCAGTCCTGTAGACCAGAATTTTGAGTAGCCACTGGGAATTTAGCACTGCAGCATTTTCCAACAATAAGCAACATTATATGTTCAGCTGAAACAGTAGTCTAATGCAATATTCAAGCCTTCTTTTTTTTTTTTCCCCAAGCTCTTGGCAAACATGGTAACTCCACTGCTTCCAAGTAGCTCAATTATTTTTATGTTAAGTGACAGCAGGTAGCTATTTAAATAATTGTTTTGTTATATATAAATGCCACTACAGACAAGTCTTTGTATGGCTCTGCTTTATGTTTGTGGCTTGGTTTAACCCAAAACATTAGTCCTGGAAAAGCCTAGTTAGTCCAATAGCATAATTACATTAAAAAAATCCATCTGGTTTTAAGTATGCAAGATCTAGTCAAAGCAAGTATCAATTTCAGCTACTGTGTTTTCAAGCAAAAAAGTCTTTGCAAAAGACAATTAAGGCTTCCATCACCCTACCAGAGGTAACAATGAGAAACAAGTCTAAGCCACAGGAGCCTTGGTCTATTTTTGACAGTGGTATTTAAGTATTTATTAAGCTGGTTTTCATCCATTTATTCAGTTGGCTGACATCCATCTGCCACATGTAACATCTGAAAATGCACAGTTAGCAAGCTGCTAAAATAAGCAATCTGGATAGTGTTTGGTTGCATTTTCTATCAACATAATAGGCAAGAGCTTCTAGAATTTGTCTTGCTGAAATACTTAAACTCTGCCTGAAGCAAGGATGGGAAAAGGCCCCCCCTGCTAGTATAAAATAGTTCAAGTACTGGAAAAAAGCCACATACATTTTTAAATAGCAATATTTGCATAAGCAGAAAAGAAACTCCAAGTTTCACACTGATCTCTTGCAATATTCAAGCAAATTTTTACTTTAACTTTTAAAATACAGGTGTTTAATTATTTAGCCAATAGTTCTACAAACGGCATCAGAGATAATGTCGCACAGCGTATGACCAAAAGCTAAAATCTTGCTAGGAAGAGTGCTACTACAAGTTGGCAATTTTAACATTTCAGTTCAGAAAACATCCATTCTTCTAAACCCCACTGATGTATATAATTTATGTTATATATTTATTAGATCCAGTCATCATGCTACAGTATCTCTCAGGTTAATAAACCTTCTCACTGTGAGAATACACCAGCATAAAGTATGAATGCAATGAAATCTAAATGAAATCTTATAGTAACTTTCCAGAAATATGCCTGTGGCCCATCAAATTCAGACTAAAGTACTTCAGATTTAAAGTATTTACTTGTCTTCTTAGCACAATAGTTTCTTGTTTGATTCCCAAAAATAAATATAAGCTTTCAATTGAAAGCATTTATTTCCTAGTTTTCCAAAGCAGAGTCTGGGCAGGGGATGGAAAATGCTTCAGACTTATCATCAGTCCTCTTCGGTACATAAAAGCATCTCCTGTCCCAGCATCGTTCAAATCCAAGAGATATTTTCTTCCAGTGAAATATGACCGGAGCACTCGTGTTATTTTCAGCAATTCAGTCTGTTTCCATGGCAGCACTGCGGGATTCCTTGGCCACCATGAGTCGCATTAGCTGACTGTGGAATTTCTCGATCTTCTTTACATCTTGCGCCTGGTCTGTTCTATACAGCAAACACTGTAAGAGAAAGTTGCTTAATATCAGATTTCACTCAACTGTTTTATCCTGTTTATACTTGCAACAAATTTGTGCTTGGAACACATAAAAACAAGGCAAGCACTTAAATGTTCATTTGTGGCAGCACCAACACATATCTACCCTGTTTTAAAACACATACACATCTGTGTTTACATTTAAGTTCCCCTGAAAGGCTCATGCCTTCCATTTTGAAAACAGGGATGGTCATGATTTATCCTAGTATCTTCCCTCTCAAAAAAGGTGCTAAAACTTGGGGCTTAAAGCTGTCTTTAAAGATACTCTTTTTGTCTAAAAATAGAAGTAGATTTTAAACCTGAAATTACTTTCCTATTCTCTATATTGTACACTGCCAGTGACATAAAATCAGTTCAGTATTTCCCACTAAAGAGAATCCCCTCCCCTAAGCAAAATCTGTTTCTAAGACAGTCCTAAATAAGGAATGTAACATCTGATTAAAAGGAACTCCATGTGACAAGACTGTAAATGCAAAAGGAACAATATGCCAGTGACTTATCAAAGAAAGGCCACTTAGTTGGGTTTTTTTTCCAGGCTAAATAATTTCTGTACAGGATAAGTGTGACTGCCCAGGCTGATTTAACAATGAAAAAAACCCCAGATTGCTTCATTCTTCAACGCTGCCAGCATAGCAACTTTTGCCAGCACTAAATTCCTATTTTAATTCAGAGAAACAGTAGAAAATAGTTTATTTTTTTTTTTCCTCTTGGCTACATTAGTTCTACAGATTTAGCAGCAAGAAAAACCTCCCTCCCTGCCTTTAGAGAAAAAAAATAAAAATTAAAACCCCCAAACCACACACACACAAAAAAAACCCAGCAAAAAACCCAAACCAAACCAGCCCCGTTTCCCCCTCACCACTGTAACAGCCTCTTGTGACTAGAAGCAGGTAAAAAAGGCCTACAACTGAGAACAGTTCACATTCATTAATCACCTGACTCCAGCTTCCCCTGTGGAAGATGTCACATAAATTCCCCTCCACTTCCCACCGTTATCAGTGCCCCATACTCAGCACCTCACCCACACTAAGCCCTATTATCATAGAAGGGTTTGGGTTGGAGGGGATCTTCAACATCATCCAGTTCCAACCCCCCTGCCATCAGCAGGGACACCTTCCACTAGACCCACTTGCTCAAAGCCTCATCCAGCCTGGCCTTGAATACTATCAAGAAGTGTCATTATTGGAAATACCAATGCCAGACTTCTTTTCCTGGAAAGAAGAAATCTGATTTTTTCTGAGTCTGAGAGAAGAGAAGGGCAGCCTACTGTTGCTTACAACATCACTAGCACTGAGAACTTGTTGCTGCTGTGCACAACAGCATACACAGCTGATGCATTTCTACCTGCTGACCACCATCTCACATCCTCACCCACTCCCACACTTCTAAGCACCCTCCCAGACTATTAAGAAGAAGAGCAACCAGTAAGTGCAGCTGCTCTGCCTCCTTGTACAGCAACCCTTGGAAGGACACTGCAGAATTCCATGTTGTGTGTATGGGCCAGTTTTTACTGAATGCATAACTGACACCATAGCAGTACTTCAGAAGATGGGATCTCTGAACTGACAGTGAATCTCATCGTTCAGTCTGATATCACTCCACTGTCTCATAACCACAAATAAGGAGCTTAACCCACAGCTGGAAGCTGTCACCACTCCGAGCAAATAAAAAGGACCATGCTCATTAGTAAACACATCTGTGTGAAGATGCTCCTGAAATACTTCAGCAGAAGCTACCAAAGTAATTCTATGAAGTATTTTCAGATAGAAAAAAGGTCTAAAATTTTTGTAGCGCTTGTTTTCATAGAATCCTAAAATAATTATGCTGAGACCCATAACAGACACTGACCACAGGCCAATGTCAGTCACAGACACAGCAACTAGGGAAGGCTGAACACAAGTTTTTAGAAAACCATTAACACTCTCAACGCAATGGCTAAGAACTCACAAGTTGACTGATAGCAAAATGCAAGTCTGAGAGGTACCATAAGCCCTGAAAGGGGAAAATGTTCTGTACTTACAGCTACATCGTCTGTTACTTTGATACAGAGGTTCCCATCACAATGTCGATATTTGAGAACAACTCGCACCTGAAATTACAAACATTTTATGCATTAGCACCTACAGCCAGCGATTCTCAGAACACATCTGAAGGAAATCTGCCCAAATTCAGACTGCTTTTTATTAGAATTACACACTGCTTCACATTTTCAACACCTCTGTGGTGATCCTCAGCTCTGCTGGCCACTAATCCTACAGCCAGGATGGGCTGGAGGTCCAACCATCACATTTCCCTGCCTAAGACATTAAACTGCTATTGTAACAGCATCAGGAAGCTTAACACTGGGCACGTTCAAACCCACTCTAAACACAGCAAGGACAGTTACAGGGACCTCAGTGACAAGCAACATAAACCATGAGAGTCATGTCAATACAAGACACTGACACCATATATCACACTTCAGAAAAACTATCTGGAATCTTGCGTTTAAGCCTGAAACAGTTAAAAAAAACCCCAAACAACCCAATACTTCCACATGAAGACTTGAAAGGGATTAACTGAGTGGGGTAAGCTCAACATTATTACTTTTTTTTTTCCCCCTATAGTACCTAAACTATTATGCAAAAAATATAGTATTTCCAGTCACTACAGTCAATTCAATAGCTGCACTGAAGACCACAGAGAGATTTGAAGTCTTCTGATGATTTTACAAGTGGAGATACAAAGAATAACACTTTTGGAGTTATTAAAAAAAAATAAATCAGATGACTTAAGAGAGTTCTTTCAAATTAAATTGCTTTCCAGACTCAATAAGGCTGAATTTAAAGTCTGAATGCAAGCGATCAACTTCTCACTAAAACAGTTACTACTGTAGTCACCTGTCCTGAGCTTTAACTTCTCTGCAGCCCTCCTGGACTCTCAATCACCAAAGTTCTCAAAGCCACGGTGATAAAAATCAACATCCTCAGCAACTGACTGAGCATTAAATGCTTCCTGGCCACAGAGGCTTTGTGTCTATTGTTTCTAGTCTCAACAACTAGAAACAATGCAAGGTGTCCTTTTGAGAACATTCTGAACTCTCTATAAACATGTCTTTGTTGTAAGGAGTAACTTGTAATGGTCCACAACCTCCCTGACTACAAAGTATGTCTTGTAATCCCTGCTCTGAGATGGATCTCATCAGATTCACCCCTCTTGTTTAACAAACTGTCCTCTTCTGAGGTAAGAGCCGTGTAGCAGCACCTCTCTCAACCCAGCAGGCCCAAAAGCCCGAGAGAGGCTGCCACAAGCAGCAGCCACGGACTCAACGGATAACTTGTTCCTGCACAAGGGAAGACCACTCACTACCTAGCCCCACCAGCCCAAAACACACACTCACCTCCCAGGATTCTTGTTCTTCCTTCAGTTTCCTGACAAGCCCAATTACATATGAAAGCTTCTCGGGCTAGTTCTCTGGCAAAGTAAAAGGAGGGTACTTGTGTTGTGACCCTCTGACCGATATAAACTCCTTTGTAAACAGAGAAGGTTATTGCCATGGATAAGAAGAGATTGACTTTGGGCATTCCTTCAGAACAGGGAAGAGCAACTCCTGACTGCAGTGATATCCCTCCCAAACGCTCTCATTTAATTAGATATTACAGAGCACAGAACATAAACCAGAACATTTTATTTTATTATCAGTAGCTAGGTGGCAATTGCATATGAAGTACTCAGCCACGCTAGTTAAAGACAGATATTAAACACTGCTTCTGAAGGTTTCCCCGTGTTCTCTGTTTCTAGTGAGGAAAACTAGGCCTTTCTTACAGAAGCTCTCAGGCATATGAGTTCCACATTACCTCCTGTGCTACTTTTTAGCTAAAATGCAATGCTGATTCTGAAGACTGAAGTTGCTTTCAATATATGCACAAACTACACTCCTGAAAAAGTCACCAGAAATAAAAAGCGGTCATATACCAAGAAGTTAACTTCTAGAAGTAATATTCTTTAGGAACTAAAGGCCTTCCAGTCTGAAGTGACACTACAAGCAGCAATACAACATAACAGCTAATGAATGTTTTATTTTTTTAGGAAAACAAATTCAAGTGATATGGTATTATATGTTGTAAACTCACAAAATAAACCAACTCTCAGAGCATTCTTCATTCAACAGAACTCTCTTAATCCCGGTTTCTAACACAGAGATACTCTGCAAATAAGTACATCTCTGAAGTTGGGTTCTCGAGGTTCATACCTGTCGCTGATAACAACACCTGAACTCCGTCCCCTGCGTACGTTTTTAGGGTCAAACGAGAGCATCCTTCTGCCTCGTGGAAAACGAAGGTCAGGTGCGACACCAGCGAGTAACCCCCCTCCTTGCTGCTGCCCACCCCGTGCAGGCCGCTAGAACCACACCTCGACAAACCCTCGCAACCGCTTAGCGCCGACCACCCCCGCC